ATGTATATTATTTATGTTCCATTATACTAACAAAGAAACGCGTTAGTTCAAATGGTTGGTGAGCTGTCCTGCAGGTACTGGGACCTGGGTTCGATTTCCAGGTCCCCCATATACTCAATAATTTTTGTTATAACGTGTTCATGTGCAGTTTCCTTCAAACGTCCTACCATATGTCCCAGCGCTCAGGCGTGCCAAGTGTCCCAGATGATCAATCCAATGGCCATCACGTGAATTCCACCATGCACGCCAGTCAATGGATCCACACGCAAGTTGGAAAGTCAACACAGGCCTTGCATTCTTGGGCCAAAAATCACTTCAACTCACCTCCAAATTGGGTCAGACACCCCCATGGTTTGCTCAATTTTTAATTTTTATTTGTTTTTTCCTTTTTTATTCTTTTAATGTTTTTTTTAATTGTTTTCTTTTAATTCCACAAAATAATTTTCACAATAAATATAAAATACAGAAAAATAAAAAAAAAGCTTATTTTATTAATATTAATTTCACTATTATTTTTGTAAATAAATTTTAAACAATTAATTAGATTAATTTAGGTTTTAAAATTTAAATCTTTTTCTTAACAAACTAAAACATGTAGAAATTAGGGTTTTTTAGCATTTTTATCCTTTTCTTAATAAATAATTTTTTCTTAGTATCATTATTATTAATTATTAATTATTTTGTAAATAAACATGTAATTAATTAATTAGGGTAAATTAGGTTAAACTTGAATATTTTCATTAAATAAATAAAAGCAATCTAGAATTAGGGTTTCCTTTAATTTTAATTTTAATTTTCTTTATTTCATTAAATACAAAAAACCTAAAAAAACATCTCTTTTTTCTAATAAACTAATTAATTAATTTTTAATTCAATTTAATTCCAAAAGGGTTCAACGCCCTCGAACATTCGATTCTAATTTCTTTTCGCGCATTTATTCTTGTTTATTTTCTTTCAAATATTATGTAATTGCTCAAGCCTTGTAATAGTAATTAGGAATTTATTTATTTTCCGCATCTTTTATTAAAACGGGTCTTTGTTAATTTGGCGATGTATAGACCCGCGCCTTGTAATAGCGTAGGATTTTACTTTCCGCACTTTAATCTCCGCACTTTTAAATTCTAAACTCTGCATGAAAGAATGAATGGCCTAAATTAAAAATAATGCGTAGCTCACCAAATGCATGATCAAAGACAAATATTAACATGAAAATAACACACAAATTCACACACCACTCTTAGGGTACGCCTCACTGTTGCCTTGCCCTCGAAACGTGGTCGTCGAGTATAGGACGTTTTAGTAAGTCCTTATGTCCATGATCTATGGCATAGGGGTAGCTTCTAAGGTGTCCTATTGTTGCTCTGGTGACCACACTGTCCCTTACAATCGAATTGACCCAAACACCTCCAACGGTGGTGCTACCTACCTCTCAATGGTGGGATGACACTATCTCAAGGACATTTACACAGCCTAATTCCTTAGGGTAGGTAGATGACTCATAGATACTTACTCTATTTCAAAAAACAAATCAAAAACTCTTTTCACACGGACACTTTTCAAAAAGCTTTCAAAACAATTTTTCAAACACTCTTGAGGACTGATATAAGAGTCGATCTGAAATCTTTAAACGAAACTTTTTCAAACCCACTCACACTTTGAAAAGCAAACATTTTGAAAACACAATGAGCAAGTATCTAAGAGCCCATGGATAACCATGGATAGAAAGGGTGCTAACACCTTCCCTTTCTATAAATCTACCTCCCGAACCGAGAAACTATCTCATACGGAATTTTGCTGTGCTTTTGTCCTGTCCATGTTGGAGAAAATAAAAGACGGTGGCGACTCTTGCTTCCGCGACATTTCGCGAACCAGCGTTAAACAGTCAGTTCCAGATCCACCGATCACAGAGTTGAGTAGTATTGATCACTTAGAGTGATTTAACAATGAATGATCTTCTCTTACAATAATATTATTGTACAATGACTCAAGATATAATTGCTCAAAGTTTTCTGTTTAATAATGTATGAAAATATGCAGAAAACTTATGCATGAAAGTGAAGGAATGCTTGAGTTTGTATTTTGAAAATTCAGAAAATATTTATGGAAGAGATGTTGAAAATGATTTTGAAAATGAATATTTATATGTTCATAACACCCTTTTGAAACATCATAAAGTTCTGAAAATGAATCATGAACAAATGCCAAGATTGAGTGAAAGGTTTCAATGAAAAGGTATTATGAACAGGCATGTGAAAAGCTGTTGTTTTTTAAAATCGTACAGCATGCAATCGATTGAACCCTTTGTGTAAATCGATTGCACATGGTTTCAACAACTATATTTTCAAAAGTTTTAATTGTGTAATCGATTGCACAAGTAATGTCAATCAATTGCATGTAAAGTCAGTAGCAAAAAGTAAGTGAGTGCAATCGATTGCACAAGCAATGTAAATCGACTGCACTGAAAAACAGAAGCAAACATTTTGAAAATTTTAAGTATGCAATCGATTGCACAAGCAATGTAAATCGATTACACTGAGAAACAGAAGCAAAAGATCTGAAAAATTGAAGCATGCAATCGATTGCACAAATATGCAAATCGATTGCACTCAAGTGAAAAATGAAATTTTAACTGAAAAACTTGAGTAATGATTTTTTAAACATTTCTTATTTATCATTGAGCATCTATATCTTAAGATCAAAGTAAATAATATCATTATACCTTGAAAGTTGTTAAAAGTCTTGAACTGAAGATTTTATCCATAGATGCTTTGAACTTGATCATAAATCTTTGTCTTCTTTGTCAATCATGGTTTGTCTTCATCAAAACAAAAGCTCATTTGAGAAGCTTGATTTTACAGCATATAGGGTGCTCTGGAAATCATTTGAAGCTCTGGAACTCACACATCTTGGTGAAAAGTGAAATTAGTTGAAAGGCCATTGCTTAAGAGGAGAATTTATCTGATCAATTATTAGTCAACCTTGAGCAATTGGGGACCTTAATGAGTATGCCTTGAATAAAAATGAGAGAGAAAATTTTGGGGTACAACAACAACAAGCCTTGGTTGCATGCCAATGCTACCACATGCAACCACTAGTCGAACAACCTCCAATCTTGCTACTAAAGAAAATACTTCAGAGTAGTCGAGTCCTTCTTGTTGAAGAAACCCTCGAGCTACCAATCTTGCTTTTTGTCTTGCTATCGACCCATCATCATTGTGTTTCAACTTAAACACCCACTTCACTTTGATAGCTTTTGTATGTGTTGCAATTCGAATAACTCCCATGTATTGCTTCTTTCAATTACCTGTAACTTTCGACCATAGCTAATTTCCACTGTTTAATCTTCAAAGCTTCGTTATGGTTGATTGGTTCAGCACCTGCAAGTAAAGCAAAATGAACTAATTCTCCATCTGGTGGGACTTTATCATCACCTACCACTTCATAATCATGAAGTATTGTTGGAAGAACTCTATTTCTTTGAGGTCTTTGGCTTGAGTCAGCCCCAAACTCTTCGACTTTGACTGTTTCTAGAATGTCATTAATTACTTCGACTTCGATTGGAATATTAGCAATTTTAACGACTTCATTAGATTCATCATCGAAACCATAGCTCATCAATGACTTGTTAATTGTATCATTAGAATTCTAATCCCAGACAAAATTTTCATCATTCACAATGTCTCGACTCAACATAATCTTCTCATTAACTGGATTCAATAGCATGTATGCCCCAGTTTCATGATATCATACCAGAATCATAAGTTCACTCTTGTCATCAAGCTTCATTCTTCTCGTATCAGGAATATGCTTGTAACACATAGAGCCAAACACCTTCAAATGACTCACTGATGGTCATTTGTCACTCCATACTTCTTCAAGAACCTTGTTCTTCAATATATTGGTAGTGCGCCTGTTAAAAATTTAAACTGCAGTCGAAACAGCTTCACCTCATAAAGAATTTGGCAAATTCTTCTGCTTTAGCATGCATCTCGCCATATCCAATATGGTTATGTTTCTTCTTTTTGCAATTCCATTATGTTTGAGGGGTATAAGGAGCAGTTACCTCGTGATCAACATCATGTTTTGCACATAAATTTTCAAACATCTTGGATGTGTATTCGTCACCTCCATCTGTTTACAGAACTTTGATCCTCTTCTCACTCTGGTTTTCGACAAGTATCTTGAATCTCTTAAAGATTTTGAATACTTCGTCCTTTCTCTTGATCACGTAGATCCACATTTTTCGGCTGAACTCATCAACAAACTAAACAAATATATGTTTCCACCAATGGTATGTTCTTCAAATGGACCACATACATCTGAATGTACCATTTTGAGTATGCATGATGATCTCATTGGCATAGTCGAAACAAAAGAGTTACTTTATTGCTTTTCGACTAAACAACCTTCAGAGTTTGTCGAACATCTCAAGACTTGGGATACCAGATACCATATGTTGCACCCCAAATTTTACTCTGAGTTTCTCATTCGCATTCATACATCAAATTTAATCTTCATTCATCTTAATATTTTTCGCGCATTTGCATCGTTTTTATCTCGATTTCGATCTTTATTCAATTTTTTCTTTTAGGTATTATTTTTTTCTTTATTTCATAATTAAGAAAATATTAAAAAAAAATTATCTTCATTCGCATATCTGTTTGTTACGCATATTAGCATTTTCGAGTTAAAATTTTATCTATTTATCTTAATTTTATTTTGTGATTAATAATTAGGTTTTGTCATTTAACTAAAGGTATAAAAAATTGTGTTTATTTTATATAGTTTTATTATTTATTTTATTATGATTATTGAAAATATTGTAAATAAAATATTATTGTTTATTTTGTTACATACTTAGATTAACTTCAATTATTTTCAAAATATCTTGCAAAAAGGTTTTTTTTGGTGTATTCACAAGACCTAAGGGATTTGGGGATAAGGTTTTGGTGTTGTTATAACAAAGAAACGGCGGGCCAGAGGGGAGAAAAACCAAAGAAAATTTTCATCTCACTCTCTCCTTCCTCTCATCCATCATCATCGTGAAAACCAAATACTTCCGTTCTCATCCGATTCAACTGCTTCTCTGCTACTTCCAAACCGGACATGCCCAGTCCATTCAGCAACATGTACGCGACCTCACGCCACCTGCATCCTCCTTCTTCTTTCAACTCACACCCACCGTCCTCCCTTTTCATTCCGTAAACCAACCGTTCACAAAACCCAACCAATACTCCCTCTGTCTCGCTCATCGCACGCTCCCTTTAGCCTCGTACTCCTCACCATTTTCACACCTCCAGCATAACCTCACTTCAACCTCCTTATCTCAACCACACGTAAAACCTTAACTCCAAACTTCCGATACCCACTGTCTGCGACTTCGATTGCGATTAGTTGAGTAAAATTGTTATGCTAAATTCTGTGATGAATCTGTGAAAAAACAGTTTGAGTTTGATATAGTTGTTTGAACTGTTGATGTGAAAATGTTGTGATAAAATTTTGGAAAAATGGCTTGATGAGTTAGAAATGTTGATTTGTGATGTTGCTGCCATGTTTGATTTTCGAGTTTAAATCCGTAATAAAACCGTTTGAGGTATTAAATGTTGCTGCCTTTGGTGTTATTTGATTTTGAATTTATGATAATAACAATTTTCTTGATTTTAGTCTTGGTTTGAATGTATCGATATGTCATGTTGTTTGAGCTATATATGTGAAAGAGATTTTGATGATGTTTTGGATACATTTTGAGTTGAATTCGAATGGGTTTACGCTAAGTTGTGGCATGTTGACTTGAATCCATTAGCAAGAGATTGTGTTGATATTTGAGTCGAATTCTAATGAGAAGTTTTGCTTGTGATATCGGTTTTTGTTATTCGGTTCAATTTTGAATGGCGAATTCGTGTTGACAATACTTTTGTTGGTGTTTAATTTTGAATGTGTATTGTTGTATCGTTGTGATTACCGAATCTGAATAGCAATTATTCGTACAAGAAACGACCCAAAAATGTCACCGAAAACACGTTAAAAACCAAAGTGGATGGACGCAAAGTCATAACAAGCTTTTCTCATGTCTTGAACTTGAATCGAGTAATAACGCTAATTCTTTACCTTTGTTTCCACTTGTGAATTGAAAAATCGCGGTAACCTTTATGGATTTGAATGCATATCATGTTTAATTGTGATTAATCTTGGTTGTCGTTGTTGTGCAACTTGATTGGATTTTGAACGGTAAACTTGGCTATGACATCTCTTGGTTTTCGAGTTTGAATTTGATCGATTGAGATGAATTTTGTAGAGTGTTATTAAGATTGCATAGTGGTTGCCCCGATTTTGGTTTATGCATTTAAAGCTTGTTTAGAACTTGATTTTTTTTCATGTATGGAATTGGACAATAACTTGAGTTGTTGATTCCGGTTTTCGTTTGTGGTTTGAGATCGTGATAATCATTGATTTTGTTTAACTTTGAACAAGTTTGGAATGATGAATACAATGCTGATTTTTGGCATTTACCTTGAATAAACACTTGTTTTCTTGGTTCTTGATTGAAAAAATATTCATTTGTTCATTCAATTTGATTCAAGTATCATTTGGTTTTCAATTCACTTGTGATTACTAACTTGTTTATGATTTGTGTAGCTTTCAAGTAACTCAAGTGTTCACTTCATCTTAATGTTATTTTGTTGCTTTTAGTTAATTAACTAAAAGTCGATTTAGTTATTTGATTTCGTTATTAAAAATTAATTAGTTTTGCTAATTACTTTTTCTTAACTTAATTAATTAACTTAATCAACTTTTAATTAATCAATTGAGCATCCATTTCATACTTCATTTGTTTCACTTAGCTCTGATACAGGTTTCTAAGTCACTTGGACCTGAATTCTTACTTCACATGAGACTTCGGTTTATTTCTCTGCTATCCTGCTTTGTCTGTTTATTGGGAATTTCATCTGATGTAGGATTTTTCATCCGATATCTTGATGATACTTTGAGCTTTATCTGACACCTTGAGCTTACCTAGTGCACTTTCCCTGCTTGTGATTTATTTTCACCCGATGCGATGTCTGCTTGTGATTTATTTTCACATATACCTAGTATACTCTTGGCTTATTTATTTGTTGGTGGCTTAATCCAAAAGGATGAGAATTCTTATTGGCTTTATTATGTCAAGCATTGGCTTCCTTTTAGTCAGACCTTTCTTACCTTAACTTTTACTTTCTTACACATAGGATATTCTCTTCATCTCCTTTCCCAGTCTTCAATTTTCAAAATATTCTCAACTTTTTCAAAACATTTTGTCTTATAAACTCGAATTGCTTTCATAATAAACCTCGACTATGTCGAGTGATTTTTCAAACATCTTTTTTTTAATCAAAAACTCAAAACACTTAATAAATAAAGATGTGAGTTGTATGTAGTTGAGTCTTATGGGGACTAATGAGGCGGTGCATTCTAGAACCTTGCTCTTTCTTCCATTTCTGGACTTTATTATGATTCAAATTGCAAATCCTTTTTCAAACTAACAAAATAATTCAACTCATTCAAACTTTTTTGTGCGCTCAAGCACCTTTTTTCTTTAAAACTTTTTTTTCAGATTATACATGATTCATTTATAATCGAGATGTTATTCCTTTATCCCCGTGGTTGTCGGCTTTTTCACATGAGTACTAGAAATATTTTCAAACTCTCCCTCATGTTGGTGCATAGTCTTTCTTTCTTATACTTTGAGGGCGATTAGACGAGTCTTCTCCTTAAAAATGACAACTTGTCTCTTCTTTTAAAATCAATCAACATATCAAGTTTTATTCTTTTTTTAGAAGAACTATGAGTGCCATAATCCCTTATTGCACGAAGGGGGTACGTAGACGCAAAGATTCACAATTGCGACAAACGCAATAATAAAAAAACATTTTCTTTTGTTTCTTTAATAACTCTTTCATTCATTCCCCTTTAGCAAGTTTAAGCTTTAGATAACACACTCTTTTGACTAGAACAAACAAAGTAGATCCTGAAGAGTACCGTAGATGCTTAGGGTGCTAATACCTTCCCTTTGCATAACTAATCTCGTACTTTGATCTCTCTTTCATTTCATTTTGAGTTTTATTCGCTCTTTTCTCATTTTCCAATTGGAAATAATAAAGTGCGGTGACGACTTCATTGTGTGAGTTAAGTCAATTAATGGCTTAGTCTCAAATTTTACCACTACATTTCGCATACAGTGCGACACTATATCTTGAGTAATAAGCTGATTGAGTGACTGAAAGTTCAAATGTCCAAATCTCAAATGCCACAACCAACTATTCTTGTGGTCGACAACAGTTTTTTGACATTGTACTTATGTCGAATTGATCATAGTCTTAAATGTCACATTCTTCAACAATAGAGATTTAAAGACCAAATTATTTTGAAGTTCCATCTTTCATAACAACTGAGAAGCCTTTTTCGACTAGTTGTCCAACACTTAGTAGGTTGCACTTCATTCCAGGTACATAGAATACATCTTTGATCATAGCTTTTCATCTATTACTTATTTGAAAGATTATGTTGCCAGTACCTTCTGCTTGTAACAAACTATTATCAGCAAGTTTAACTTTGTTCTTCTTTGACTCGTCAAAATCTGCCAACTAATCCTTTCGACCAGTCATGTGAATAAAGCAGCCTGAGTCGAGGAACCAGATCTTTGATTTAACACGGTTATCTGCGAGCAGCCTGAGTCGAGGAACCAGATCTTTGATTCAACACGGTTATCTGCAACTGCATCCATAACCACCATACCACCTTCAGAATCATTTGAATCTTGGCGTACAAGGTTCGCTCCTTTGTCCTTGCCTTTTGTCGATCGATTGTCTTTCCTGTACCAACAATTTTTAGTCAAGTGATCCCACTTTTCACAGTTATAACATTGCATACCTTTCTTATCTTCTTTGTCCTTTCAATAGTTTCCTCCTCTCTTTTTCGAGGATTCAGAAGATCTATCTTCGACCTTATTCTTGTGGGGATTCGACCAATACTTCTTGACCTGAGTCTTCTCGAACTTGCCTTTGAATTTTTCAAAACCACCATTCTTTTCCATGACTGAGCTTGCATTTCCTGTATTAAGGCCTGAACTCCTTTTCTTTCGACAATCCTTATCTCACGTGTCTCCAACGAACCAACCAATTCTTCCACTTTTAGGGTTTCAAGATTGTAGGATTTTTGAATAACTACGATAACGTGATCAAAGTGAGAGGTCGGCGTTCTCATTACCTTCTCAACTACTATCTTATCAGTTATGGTTTCACCATAATCCTTCATGAGATGGATGAGTTTCTGAATCTTCGACATATATTCTATAACTTTTTCGTCTTCTCCCGTCGACAATAACTCATATTATCGATGCAAGGTTTATAACTTAACAGCCTTGACTTTCTGACCTCCTTCGTAATACTTCACCAGAATATCCCATGTCTTATTCGTCGTTTCAGCATGAGAAATTCTGTCAAAGTTAGCAGCATCAACCGTCGTCTGAATGCAATAAGCAACTTTGTAACATTTCTTCTTGACTTTGTTGTGGACTTTTTCTGTCCATCGGTTAAATTTGTAGCCAATGCAGAAACGTCGTCGATAACCACTTCTAGAATTTCATGGAAGCCAAACAAGGATTGCATCTGTTTTTTTCCATCAGATCTAATTTTTACCGTCAAACATTGGAAGAGAATTTAGAATGTCCTTATCACTAGTCATCTTCGCAACGGTTGATTCACTTGCCTTGGAAACACGATATCTGACGTGAAGTTCTTAAAAACTCGATCAAGAACATAACCGGAAGCTCTGAATATCAATTTGTTAGTGCGTGAGACACTTTTAGTAAAGAGAGAAAAAGAGAATAATAATAAAATTAATAAAGAATACATTATTTACTTTATTACAAATAAGCATACAGACTATGACTATTTATATACAATCTTAATTGGACTTGAGCTAACACAACTTAAATTATATTTAAATATTAAATCTGATCTAATATTTCAATAAAAAATTTATTCAAATAACTAAATTTTTAAATTTTAATATCAAACTAACAAATCTTTTTCCATGATTTAATAGATAAATTTGTAGGTAATTTACAAATAACTTCAAATTCAAAGATAATTAAAAAAATAAAAAATAAAAAATAAAAGAGAAGTCAATTTCTCTAATTTTTTTAAAAAACATGATTATATTAGAAATTATGAAAAAAGATTAGTTAATTTGATATTAAGTTTAAAATTTAATTATTTAAAAAAGTTTCAAAAAGTGTAGTGTGACTTTGTACCATTAGGTTTGATTTTATTTTTTGTTCAAATTGTAAGTATTGAAAGACGAAGCTTCC